AATTACATACACTCACATGTGGTTCAAAAAGGACTATTCACTTGTTCAAAACCAACCAGGAAAAAAAAAAACTTTTAGCTCAGTGGTTTGGTGGCCTGCCTTGCAAGCGCAAAGACCCGAGTTCAATCCCTGGTACCAAAAATATATATATACATATTTTTTTAAATTCCCTTTGCAAAGGCAAAATACAAATAAATGTGAGTGTTTCCTTAGAAAAGGAATTCTCTTTTCAACTATAGTAAAATACACATAACAAAATTTATTATCTTTACCATTTCTAAGCACACTGTTCTGTGTCATGAAATACAATCAAGGGGATTTACCTTATCCTAAAGAGCAATGAATACGCCAAATAACTTAGACCTAATTTTTTTTTTAATTTTGAAATAGTCTTCTGAGTATCCATAACAAAACTGAATTTACAAGCTGGTTTAAAGGTTGGTTAGCTAAGTAATAAAGCAGGCTGAGCGGGCCAGCAAAGCCTGAGCTTTGTCTGTCCTTCTCCTTCTCAAAGGACAGGATTCATTTCTGTGTATTTTCCTACAGAAAGATAAAGGTGAAATTATTTCACCACAACTAAAATCTAAACTTTGGTGCTGTAAAATTTGTTTTTGATCACCATGGAAAGTCATAAATTGCAGCGAATGTAGTGGTAATTCGTAAATTTGTTCTTTGGGTGTAACTAAACGTTTGTGCATCTATTTTATCTTACATTGTTTTGTTGCCTAGAGCAAAGCACCTTTGTTTGCAATACATTTCCTGATGGAAGCCAGAGGACAGCTTTTGGTGTCTGAGATGACTCTTAAAATTTGCCATCCCTCACATATGCTGTTTACAAGTCTGAAATACATAAAAGTGCTGTTAGCAATTTCCAAGCTTAAACAGAAAGAACTTAGAAGTGAAGCTCTGTTCGTCTCCCACATGTGCATGTATTTATTTTTAAGGGACCAGGAGGCAGGGTTATAACTTCAAACTAGGATCATATGGATATTGTGGCTTAGGATAAGCGAGACGTTTAGAGTGAGAACGAGGGAGGAGTGGTAGGTGCACGGTTATTCGGGAAGTACACAGCTGGGGGGCTCTGATGTCTGGGAGTGCTGTCTTTAGGAACTCTGCTCCTCCTTGGAATCTGCAGGGTAATTACAAGGCATGATGGGGAAGGAGACAAAATTAACGAGCTTCGCAGAGTAACAGCAGCTGAGATGTGGTACTGACCTCTTCAGCTATTCAGTCTCTAGAGCGGGAAGCTCTGTTTCATTCCCTTGGTTCTTCTGGAGAAGCGTGAGGAGTGATCAGCTCCTGCATTCTCTCCAGTTATCCAGCGCTTCCTAATAACACGAAGCACGCCAGCCTCAGGAGCCCAGTGTCCCTTTGGCCAGGAGCAGCCTTCACGGCAACACCACGTAACTCCCCCCACCGTCCCCTGGCTCCTTCTCAGACGGCCTCCAGTCGCCCTCTCTAAAACACCCCTCCCATCCTCCAGCTCCTCTCAGCCCCTGCATCCAGCTTGGATTTCGCCAAATGGGCTTAGGATCGACTGACTCCAGAGATTTAGTACTTGTCCCCCTCACTCAGAAAACAAGCTTTCTGCAGACAGAAATTTTATCTAAGTTGTGCAGAAAATGTGTCTCCTATTTCCACTGAATGAGTACATGGATTGGCTTTTTCAACTGTCATCATCTAAGATGATATAATGTAACCTAGGCAGTGCTGCTAAAAATTTCCTGTAGAATTTTATTGCTGTTGTTTTAGGAACAGCTGTCAGTGCCTACAAAGGACTGGTTCCAGGACCCTTGCAGATATGAAAGTGTCTGCATACTTAGGCCCCTTAAATAAATGTACAGCCTCCCATGCACTCTAAATCATCTTTCATAACATCTAATACAATGTAAATGCTATAAGTACTTATTATATTAGGATCTCCCTATGTCACTAAGTTGTGCTTGAACTTGTACCTTTCTGCCTCAGCCTCCTGAAGTACTGGGATTACAGCCCTGAGCCACCATACCCATCTTATTATACTGCATTGGTTAGGAAATAATGACCAGAAAAGTCTGTAGATGTTCAGTCCAGATGCAATATTGTTTTCAAACATTTTGATCTGTGGCAGGGTGAATCCCCAAATGTGGAACTCTCAGAGGGCTCGCTGTTTTGGACGTAGGGAACAGGATTCCAAAATTCCATCACAATTTCTTGAAGTCCCAAAACTGCCATCTATCTCAGTCCACATGCATCTCTGTAGAGAAATTAGGGAATCAATCATGGAGGCCACAGGACTGGGTGGGCCCCTCCACAGCCTAGTCTCAGGCCTGAGGTGTTTAGAACCTTCTTATCTTGATTCTCCAGACTTTCTGTGGGCCAAATCCATCTGCAGTTCCCAGGCGCCAGTCTACGTCCCATTTGCTTTGAGCAGTGTGTGATCTGATGTCAATGGAGCACAGAGAGGAAGCGCTTGGCCTGGAGGGAGAATGACCCGCCTGGGTGCACAGGGAAGCAGCCCAGGGCCTGCAGGAGCTCTGGCTCAGAGGACATGGGCCGCAGAGATGCTGCTTCCTCGAGGGTCAGGCGCACGGAAGCACTGGGCACACGAGCAACTTCACTGAGACCTCGTGGCTGCCAAGCCGCACCTGCCATTTATCACTCTGCAATCAGCCTTCCCTCCACATCTGCGGCAGCTTGGGATCTCTCCCTTCCTTATCTCTCTAGTTAGTGAGTAGTTCACAGCTACATCCTGGCACCTGTTCTCTCCATGACATCCAAGAAGTCTCCAACCCACGATAAGTGGGTAATGATGAATAGCTGTGTTTGCAGCTTTTAAGACAGATTTCACATTCTGCAGCTTCATTTCATTTCTGCATGAGGCTAATTAACTAATTTGCAGCACATTAGTGGAAATGGCTGTACATTTAGCCCCCTGAAGACAGAATGTGAGTCTTTTACCTGGTGAAATCCATAAGCCTTCACACGATTGACAGCATCTGCCAACATTTGTTCAACATTACTTGAAGGACTTAAGGGTGGCTAAAAATTAAATGCAACACATTTGTATAGCATTTAGAGCTATGATGCAGTTTCAGAAGGTAATCTGTCAATGTTTTCCTAGTTTCAACATCCACTATTATTGTTCCCCCAACCTCGTGTCTGTAGACACCAAAACTTCCCTTCCTAGTGGTACTTGAGTTCATGAGCCAAAGCTGACCCGAGGAGTAGGCACACGAAGCCTCAGTGGCCTCATGCAGCAGGGCACAGAAATGAAGAAGCACTGCTGATGAGCGAGGGGCTGAGAGCTTGGTGTGTCTTACTCATATCTGGCCCTGGTGGCCTTGCAGTGTCTTCTAGACACCAGCAATACCCCCTAAGTTAAATTTCCTTCTCGCTTAATCTCTGAATACACTGTTTGCTCAGAAAGGAGCAACACCAGAATCTCCAGAGTATAGTGCATAACACCACGGCCTCCATCCTGGGCTGGAGTTATGCCTCAGACACGCTTTTCGTGCCTGGGAGCCCTGCCTGGGTCATAGCTGTCCTCTCCCCCTGCCCTTGTTACCCAGTACCTAGGTTTATACCACCGCTCCAGGTGGATTTCCCAGGAGGGAACTTCCCAGATCCATTTCCTGGATTCCCTAGGATCATTCCTCCCTGGCATGCACTGACCTCCCTGGCACTGTGACCAGGCTGGCAGGATCACAACAGATAGCTCTGAAGACCTGCTCAGTTACACAGGCTCTCATCATACCGTACCTCACCCAAGCACAGAGCCTGAACTAAAACCCAGCATAGGTGCCTGTAACAGCCCCATATAGCTCTCCCCTCAACATGCACACATTACCATGACTTATATGCCTTGTGCCTGAGGAATCTTTCTTGAATTTTGGCACAGATCAGAAATCGTTAGCAACTTATTAGCAAAAGGTCAGTAGCAATATTCAGTAAGGACCCCAGAGGGTGTGGTGGAGTCACTTACCATGCTGTGTGGAAACCAGTGTGGCAAAGACCTCAGCTCTCACAGTAATGCCCCTTT